AATAGGCTTGCATGTTAGTCTCAACTCTATCCCTAATGAGTTTGTTGACAGCAGGCAAACCATCACTTTCCCTACCTATAAAATTAAATGCAGCATTTTCCAAGTTTTTTAGTTTTTATGTTTTTAGGGAGGGCATTTTTTTTCTCAAAAAAAAAAAAAAGGCTTATTCCTAAGTCTAATATATAAGATAGCTAAAGACAGAACTATTTCCTTGGAAATGACAAGTAGAACCAGGGCTGTGGCCAGTAATGCTTCATTCCTCTCCTCCCCATAGCCAACCTCTCATCAGCATGGAGTGTCAAGCAGAAGTCAGTGTGAACATTCTGGAGAGAGGGTAGCTAATGTCTCCTGAATTCTAATTTTTTATGACTAAACACAGGGAAACCTGTCTTCCTTGATGGGACACCATTTGGAGCAGCCAGGTATTAAAAGAAGGATTAGCATCTAAAGACTTTATGTGAAAAAAATAGCCTTCATTATTTTAATGTAACTTGTGATGTTACAAGAAGCTTTGTAGAGCAATTTGAAAATTAGCTTTAAGCCCCAAATGAATTTCTTCCTTCCTATCTCCATTTTGACGCACCTCGTTTTTATAAGCACACAACAGTCTCTAGTTTGCAATGCACTTTTATGTGTGTTATCTCACGTGTGAGTATCTGAACAATCTCACTGATTCATATTGTTCTGACTAACAGAGGTTTGAGAGGAGCCCATGACATCTTCCAAAGGTTTTTTCCCCATAAAGAAAATGGAAGGAAGAGGCAAGTCATTTTACCTATATTTGTCAACCTTGAACTTCTAGACAAGTGGTTTTGACAGAACTATCTCTTCACATGTTTGGAAACAGCTTTAGTCCCATGTTTAGAATGACTTGTACATGTATAGACTGTCCATTTTATGGCCTAAATTTAAATAGGCATCTATCACTCATTTATGTAAGACAGTTAGATGGTCTAAACCTCATCCTCTTGTTTTTTCTTCTTGAAGTGGAAGACTATGAGGAGAAAGGAGGGATGGTAAGAAAGACTGATTTGGGGGAAGAAGTGTTTCTTCAACAGAGATGGAGAATGGATCAGCTTAATAAGTCATGAGGAAGTTTATCCAAACTGTTCAGAATTTTGAAGGAAGCTATGTAAACATTCAGCAGTTATGAACTTAACTCTCTGTATCCTCCCCCAATGTAACGCATAATGGTGCTTTTTTAAAGACAGAAATACATTTGAAAATGTAAGAAGGGTTGACAATGAAATATAAGTGAGAATCGTGAACTATTATATTGTTTTAAAAACTCATAGAATGTGAAGCTAGGGTGTGGTATTCATATTTATTACTAGATATAGAAATTTATTCTCCTACCATTCTATTTCCTTAAAAGGAAGTAAATCCAGCCACACGACAACTGCTCCTATTCACAAATGACAGTTACTTCATATTTTGATTTCTAAAATTTTTTTAGTCCCTAAGTTACATTTTTAGTGTTTCTTTTTGTTCTGCTCCTTTGACCTACTCTGGAAAAAATCTAAATAAAATTTATTTCCTTTTCTTTTCACTCCAAAAACCTTTACAGTGTTCTTTCCTAAACTCAAAGTACAAGAATAATTATATTTTTTAAATGCTTGTGTAAAGGACATTTCATTTTCAACAAGACAATATAGTCATAAATAAAATCCAAAGGCCAAGACAATGTAACTTTTACCTTTTTTAAAAAAATCAAGTTTTTTACATTAAAAATTATTTATCATTTGTCATATACAAAATAACTTGTAAATGCATAGCTGGTAGGTTCAGGGATTCATCATTCAGTGCTAACAAATGCAGTTCCTGACAAGGAATTCTAGTCTAGATCTAATAGATCACACGGCCAACATACCGGGTGTTTCCAGATTCATTCTAGAAGCCTAGAGAGTTAATGCAACTTCCAAAAAGCTGGTTTGTTCTTAATCTATCATCTGTGTTCTGTGACAATCTGATTCTCATGAACTAATGTTAAATGTTTAATTATTTAATGTGTCTTTAAAGATTAGTAAAGGCAAGTCTCACAAAATATTTGTTTGGCAGCTTAACAAACAGTGCAATGAAACTTGAGGACTCTATTTGTTCTGGCGTTTTAATCCTGAAGCAACTCAGAACTAAGTTTTGGCAGGTAAATAAAATCAAATACTGATTAAAGGAACATAGTGTAGTGCAAATGAGAAATAGGAGTTGACATAGTTTGGATATTTGTCCCCTCCAAATCTCATGTTGAAATCTGATCCTCAATGTCGGAGTTGGGGCCTAGTGGGAGGTATTTAGGTCATGGAGGCGAATCATAAATGGGTTAATGCAGTTTTCCAGGTAAAGAGTTCTCACTTTGTTAGTGCTTACTCTGTTAGAGCTGGTTAAAAAGCACCTGGCACCTCCCCCTTCTCTCTTATTTCCTTCTTCTCACCATCCAGTACTAGCTCACTTTCACTTTTTACCATGAGTGAAAGCTTCCTGAGGCCCTCACTAAAGGCACATGCTGATACCATGATTCCTGTATAGGCTGCAAAAGCATGAGCCAAATAAACCTCTTTTCTTTATAAATTATCCACCCTCAGGTATTCCTTTACAGCAAAACAAACTAAGATAGAAATACATTCCTCAACACTGTGTGACAATGTATTGGCAATGTTTTATACAGAATTTAAAATAGAATAGCTTTCTTTCCAAGATAATTTGTGTTCTATTTACAAACTGATCTTTTTTTTTAAAAAGTTTTTCAATCTAACTCCTCTTTAAAGAGATTTTATTTTTTCCAATATGAAGTGTTCCATATCCAGGGAACTAACTCTTATTTAGTGCTTACTATTTGTTAGATACTATTCTGGGTTTGTTATGTATTTTATCTCATTTAATTTTACAGCAACCTTATGAAGTAGGGATTCTTATTACTGTTATGTGACAGATGAGAAATCTGAAGACCAGAGAGATTAACTAACTTGCTGAAGGTCACATAGATCATGAGAGGTGAGGACAGAATTTGAACACTGGCAGTCTGACTTCAGAACTACCTTATTATGTTACTGCATAGTACTGAACGGGTTAAGATCAGAGCTAAATGATCTCCTTAAGAGTGATACAGAAAAAGATTACACAACCTTGATTAAAATATTTGCCCCATCTAGAACTCTATTTCCTCCATCTAAAATTGTTAAGACTCAAGAATGAAAGAAAATGAATTAATATGACTTTCCCTAACACAGCATCATACATTCGAAAAGGCTTTTGATAATTATGAAAACTTCTTTAAACTTTCCAGATTCCTACAATATCTGATGGTTTTCTGGAAGTGGAGTTTTCTAGAGTGAGTGGAGCTTGTTTGTCAGACATGCTCCATTGTAGCATAACACCTCATCTTCTATTTTGGCCAGAGGGATGCAACATTTTTTGGCACTTTTGACTCATCCTCCAGGGGCCTAATCTTGCTGTACCAGAAGATCCACATGTAAATTGGATGTTAAAACACGCCAAAATGAGTGGCTTATAAGAAAGTTCCACTAAGTCTAGCATCCCTCTGAAAAGTCTCATCTGCATACATGTTAGAGCTTTGGGTCCTGCTGATTTTCTCATGGAGGCTGGGTGTGATGGCTCAAGCCTGTAATACCAGCACTTTGGGAGACCAAGGCAAGATAGTTACTTGAGCCCAGGAGTTCGAGAACAGCCTGAGCAACTTGGTGAGACCTATTCTCTATAATAAATAAAAAAATTAGCCGGGCATGGTGGTACATGACTGTGGTTCCAGCTACTAGGAAGGCTGAGGTGGAATACCACTTGAGCCCAGCAGGTCAAGACTGCAGTGTCTGTGAGCGTGCTACTGCACTCCAGTCTGGGCAACAGAGTGAGACTCCGACTGAAAAAAAAAAAAAAAAGAAAAGAAAAAAGAAAAGGCACTTGGAGAATTTGGAACTGGAACAATTTCCCTGAGATCCCTGGCACTATATGGGACTTGGGATCAGTTTATTTAACTCTTCATCATTTTGCCAATGAGGAAATCAATGAGCAATTAGATGACAACTTTGCATGCTGTCCCGGAGACTGCCAATGACAAAATTGCAATAGAAAGCAGGTTCTCTGTCTCTAATTTCAGAGTTTTCAGTTAAGTGACTTGACCTTCATACCAAGCATGACCTTTTAGATCAGTAGTTGTGAGTTTTGTGATTCTCCTCTCTCTGTTCTTTTTTGCAGGAGTTCTGGGCTGAGGTTGTCACCCTGACTCAAGCTTATCTGGCTGTGCATCTGAGTGCTTGACACCCTATTGAGTGGCAGCATATTGCTAAAAATCACATTCAATACTACATGCCCTGCTCCTTGATGTTATCTGAATATTCTTGCACCATTGGTAACATTGGTGAATACTATGTATTGGCAAATACATATATAACTATAAGCATATTTTTTCCCATATCTTTAGGAAGGATGGTTGGGGAAAAGCAGGATATAAAATATTTTTGGATTTTTTTGCCTCACTTGCAATTTAAATGTAGACTTTGGCCAGGCACAGTCACTCAAGCCTGTAATCCCAGCACTTTGGGAGGCCGAGGAGAAAGGATTGACTGAGCTCAGGGGTTCGAGAGCAGCCTGGGCAACCTTGCGTGACCTCATCTCTACAATAGATAAAAAATTAGCCAGGCAAGGTAGAGCACGTCTGTAGTTCTAGTTACTTGAAAGACTGAAGCGGAAGGATTGCCTGAACCCAGCAGACCAAGGCTGCGGTGGCTGTGAGTGTGCCACTGCACTCCAGCCTAGACGATGGAGTAAGACTCCAACTCAAAAATAAAAATAAAAAATAAATGTAGACTTTGAGGAAATATTACATTTTGTTTGTGAAAATGTTTGCATTCAACCAATGATAGTCTTCAATAATTGCTACTTGGAAAGGGGGAAAAATACATGTTGAGAAGTTTCTGTGATTTGGCATGCATGATCATGCTAGTGACTGCCTAGCTCAGGTATGGTATCCTACAGGTAACGTGACATACCAGGAGCAGCTGCAACAACAGCACCAACAAAAGCAACAGGTGTTGTTGGGTCTCTGGTTTCCAGGTGCTTGAGACACAGCAGGTGCTCCTTCATTTTGGGACTGCTGCCTTTTTCGCATTTCAGCTACTTCAGGACCCAATTGGCTGAAAGAAGAGAGAAAACAGAAGTTATGAAAGAAATCGTGATAAGGATAACTTGCTTATGCTGAAGGAAGCCTCATTTCATTAAAAGGAAAGGGAGATAATTTAAGTAAAGGTGAAACAAGTAAGCTTTATTAAACACTCGCAGGAAGTTTTCAAAGGAGAATATCCTAAAAACTTTGAGGACAAGCTTCTACTGTGATCTGCTGCATAAAATTATAGTGACAAAGTTGCCATGTAATCAAAATTGTTGGTAAGGTAAATATGATAACGGTTTGAAAATCTCTTTTGAACTTCCTTCTTTATCAAGAATGATTAAATCTGCTTTCCTTTTTGAACATCTTTAATGATTATAGGGGGCGTGTATAACTCTTTTCTCCACTAATGTTTACAGTTAGATAAACTGGACTTAAATGATCATTAAAAGGTTTCTCACTACATAAGATTATCCATTTTGGCACTTTTGACTCATCCTCCAGGGGCCTAATCTTGATGACATTACCAAAATGCCTTATTTTCAATTAGATGTCAGTATTGCAAAGGCCCAGCTCCCCTTCTTCTATCCCCTTAAATTTACTTTAATTTAATAGAGACTTCGGAAAAACAAAAAGACATCACTTTTAAGGGAATTACTTTGGTGGAATTTATTTATCATGGCAGATTTTTTAAATGGGGTACAGAATGCCCTGTTTGTGACCTTACAAATCAGGCCAAATGAGTCATGTTCTATTTATAGGTCCAATCCTGATCTGTGTTGAGGATAAAAAACAAAAAAAGTTTTATTTTGGTAGAGTACTACAAATTTAGCATGAACTCTTAGAAAAAGGGCTGATACCTCATTAAATGAGAGCTACTGAATAATGTTTTTCATAAATTTGTGATGTATACAAATCATACACATGTATTGTCATATGTGTGGCTAAGAGCAGTACTTACTAAAACCATAAAGTGCTTCTGGTTATTGTGGTATTGTGAACTCATTCTTTAAAAATTATATTTTCAGTTCTGACTGTAATGAGGGACACTTTTAAAAACTGTTGTATTCTTGAAAAAAAGATAAACATTTCTTTAGACCAGACATGGAATGGAAAGCCACAGTAATAGGTAAAGATCTAAAGTAACAGTAATTCTATAATTCAGTTATGGAAATGGAAAGGGGAGAAGGCACTACACTCTGGTGGGGTGTAAGATGCTACTATATGAGTAGCAGGGAATCAGATTTCAGACAATCAGCTTAAAATTAGGGGTCATGGTTCTACCACTTATAAAAAGTTGCTGAAAAAAATGATCTCTACTATTCAATGATACCTAGCTTTGGAAGAGGAGAATGCGGAGAAAGTCATCCAGATTGGACCTTCGCTATCAGCCTACTGTTCAATGACTGAGTCAGGGATGTCTCCAAAATCATTTCTGAATAGGAGGGAATCCTGAGATACCAATAAAAGAGCTGCTTGAAGACGGAGGGTCTTGAGGGATTCATCGATACAGGAAATACATTACATTACAAAGAATAAGTGAGAGTGAGAAATATGCCTCTCACTCAGTGTATTGTCTGAAAGTAAAAATCTGTATAACACCAGAAAACAGCCAACTCACAAGTTAGGAGATGAATATAATTCTGAAAAAATGCAAAGAACAGAATCACCTTTATTTTAACAAACATATGTTTAAGATACACAATGTCGCCGGGCACAGTAGCTCATATCTGTGTCCCAGCACTTTGGGACATCAAGGCAAGAGAAATGTTTGATCCCAGGAGTTTGAGACCAGCCTAGGCAACATAGTAAGACCTCATCTCTACAAAAAAAATCAAATAATTAGCTGGGCATGGTGGAGCACAATTGTTTCCCAGCTACTCAGGAGGCTGAGGCAGAAGAATCTGCTGAGCCCAGGAAGTCAAGACTGCAGTGAGCTGTCATTGTGCTACTGCACTCCAGTCTGGGCAAGAGAGTGAGACGATGGGTTCAGAAATAAATAAATAAACAGTGTGATAGGGTAAAGAATATGATTCACATAGAAGAACATAAAATTATAAAATATATCTGACTTCTTCCTTTCCAATTTGGATGTCCTTTGGATATCTGCACTTTCATGTTTATTGCAGCACTATTTACAAAAGTCAAGAATTGGAATTAACCTAAGCATCTAACAATAGATGAATGGATAAAGAAAATGTGATATATATGCACCATGGAATATTATTCAGTCATAAAAGAGAATTAAATCCTGTCATTTGTAGCAACATGGATGGAGCTGATAGACTTTATGTTAAGTGAAATAAGCCAAGAACAGAAAGTTAAACACTGTATGCTGTTACTCATAAGTAGAAGCTGAACAAAACTGATCTCATAGAAGTAAAAAGTAGAACAGAGGATATTAGAGGCTGGGAAGGGCAGAGGAGGGATAGGGAGAGATTTCTTAAAGGATATCAAATTATAGTTAGATAGGAGGAATAAGTCCTAGTGTTCTATACCACTGGAGGATAACTATAGTTAACAATAATATATTATATAGTTTAAAATAGCTAAAAAGAAGATATTGAACATTCCCAACACAAAGAAATGATAAGTGGATTTCTTATGATTAGTGGATCCATCTCCCTTACTTCCAAATTCTGGATGGCCAATGTACTCTACCTTAGAACTCACACACACCTATGTGCTCCTTTAATATTTATAATTATTATTTGTCAACAAAAATAAAAATAATTATAAGATATAACTGGAAAATATGAAACAAAGATGTAATGAAAAATGGAAATGTAACAACAAAAACACATAGCTGTTAAATGACACAGATGTAATCATCCCATTTGAAAACGATCCCAAAGATGGTGCTAAGGGATATACCCAGAATTCAACAAAAAGAGATAAAAAGATAAAACATAAAAAAAGAACTGAGATAAGCAGAGCAGTAACATTGAAAGGTTTCAATATGTACACCCCAAATATTTCAATTATAAGAGGAGAAATGACAGATATAAGGAAAGTTATAGTTTAAGAAAAGTTGGCCGAGAACTCCCCAGAATTGGGAGAAAACAATGTGAAACACATATGCTCCACAGGAGAGCAGGATAAACACATTTTAAAAAAAATTCACACTTATACATGTAATAGTAAAACCATATCTACAATGTAAAGAAAAAAGTGGAATCACCCATACAGAATTAACACTTTGATTGACAGTAGACTTCCCATGAGGAACATTGGATGCTAAAGACAATGGGCCACAGGATAATGTGTACCAAGTGCTGAGGAAGGATGATGATCACCCTACAATTTTATATTTAGCTAAATAAAAAGTCAAGAGTGGTCGGGCTCGCTGGTTCAGCCTGTAATCCCGCGCTTTGGGAGGCTGAAGTGAGTGCATTGCCTGAGCCCGCGGTTTTGAGACCCACCTGAGCAACTTGGCGAGACCTCATCTCTACAACAAATCAAAAAAATGAGCGGGGCGTGTTAGCACGCGCCTGTAGCTACTTGGAAGGCTGAGGCGGAAGGATCGCCGGAGCCCAGCAGGTTGAGGCTGTGGTGGCTGGGAGCGGCCACTGCACTCCAGTCTGAGTGACAGAGTGAGACTCCAACTCAAAATAAATAAATAAATAAATAAAAAATAAGGCCGGGCTCGGTGGCTCAGCCTGTAATCCCGCGCCTTTGGGAGGCCGAGGTGAATGGATTGCCTGAGCCCGCGGGTTCGAGACCCGCCTGGCAGCGAGACCTCATCTTTACAATAAATCAAAAAATCAGCCGGGCGTGGTAGCGCGAGCCTGGAATTCTGGCTACTCGGAAGGCTGAGGCGGAAGGATTGCTGGAGCCCAGCAGGCGAGGCTGCGGTGGCCGGGAGCGGTCACTGCACTCCAGTCTGGGTGACCGAGTGAGACTCCAACTCAAAAAAGAAATAAAAAAATAAAAAAATAAAAAAGTCAAGAGTGAAGACCACTTCCAATAAACTTACTGAGTTTATTACTCAAATATTTGCTGGAAGGAGTGGTGGATTGCTTGAGCCCATGGGTTTGAGACGAGCCCAGGCAACCTGGCAAGACCTTGTCTTTACAACAAATTAAAAAAAATTAGCCAGGTGTGGTAATGCACACCTGTAGTTCCAGCTACTTGGAAGGCTGAGATGGGAGGATCACTGGAACCCAGCAGGTCGATGCTGGAGTGGCCGTAAGTATGCCACAGCACTCCAGTCTGGGCAACAAAGGGAGACTCCAACTCAAAAAAAAAAAAAAAAGGAAGGAGTGAAATATAAGGAACAATTAAATACGGATATTGGTAAAATATGATGCTAAACTTAATGATTGGTTAAAATATAACCTCGTGTTTCTCTGCTTAGAAATAATCAAAAACTATATTTAAGACTATATAAATTGGGAATAAGTGGGTTTCTCTACTCCTTTATTGTGACAGATTTTGTAAACAACACAATGTCCTCATTCTGTTAAATACAAGAATCATTTTATTATCTCCTTTTGGGCCAGCAGCATTTGACCCTGCAACAGATGGAATTTATTCCACCAAAATTCATATGGAAATCCTAACACTCAGTGTGATGGTATTAGAAGCTGGGGCCTTGGGAAGGTAATTAGGTCCATGAAGGTGGAGCTCTCATGAATGGAATTAGTGTTCTAATAAGAGAAATTTCAGAGAGCGCTCATGCCCTTTATCTGCCATGTGAGGCTGCAAAGTCAGCAGCCTGCAACCTGGAAAAGAGACCTCACCAGAACCCAACCTGCTGGCACCTTAATCTTGGACTTCCAGCCTCCAGAACTGTGAGAAATATTAAACTGATAAGAATAGATACTATACTCGATCTTAGCCAAAAGGCCAAGAAATAAATTTCTGTTGCTTATAAGCCACCCAGTCTATGAAACTTTGTTTATAGTAGCCCAAACTGACTAAGACAGACACAGTAATAACTTCATCTTCCAAAATAGTTTCTTCTTCTGCACTCCTGGGCACTACACTTGTTTGTTTGCTTTCTAGTCATTTCTATTTCAGCCTACT